CTGCTGGGGAGCCGGGGCTGGGCAGCGCCGCTGCCTCGCTGCTGGGCACAGAGCGGCGAGCCCGGGCTGCCCTGAGCCCTGCGTGCCCCTGCCAGGGCCAGCAGAGCTCGTGTCCGAGCGGCCGCTGCACTCACAGCCGCACACGGGCACGGGCGGGGCCCTTGCAGCCACCGCGGGAAGGCAGCGACATCGCATTTCACCGTGTGGAAACTGCGGGCCTTGAACGAGCTCCAGTGTGCTGCTGCCTGGCCTCTCTTACATTTACAGACACAGGAGACAAACGCTGCAACCCTCCTTGTCTGCCTTGTCTGCCTTGTTCACTCGTCCTCAGAGGCTTTGACTCCTCTTGGCTCCCAGCACAAACAGGAACAAATCTCTTACCTAAAAAGCAGAATCCTAGGTAAGATGGGTTATGACAAATAGTTGGTTTGAATATAATCTTTAAATGGCTGATGTCCTCAAGGCACAAATGTGGGTTCAGTAACAAATTAATTCAAGCAAACCATGTGCAAACAGTTCAGGCAGGTGCAGCAGTGTGAAGAACCACCTGTCCATGGTGTTCTCACTTAAGTACCACTTCTGTCTTCCCAACCAATAGCAAGAGTGTGTTCTCTTCTGTGAGCTGGCAGGGGTCAGGGTGAGATCTCAGGATTTATGGTTAGGGCCAGGGTTAAGTCGGGGTTCAGCTGCTGTGGGGACAGAGACCCTGCATGGTGGTGAAAATCACGTGTCAGGTCAAGGTCAGGTGTTTGGGTGAGGAGCCACTGCTCACTGGTCAGGAGTTGGAGGTCAGGGGTCAAGGATTAGGGGTCTGTGGCAGTCATAGGTCAATGCCAAAGGTGAGGGCAGGTGCAAAACTGGCTGGTGAGAATGGTAACAGTGTAGGGCCAGCTTTCAGACTGGGGTTTAATGGTCAGGGCTTGGGGTCAGCAGTCACCAGTCAGTGTCAGGGGCCAGGGGTCAGCATCAGTGGTCCTGACCTCAAGTGTTGGGACCAGGGGTCATGGGTCACCTGTCAGTATCAAAACTCAGGGCCTGGGGTCAGGGGTCAGGTGCCATAGTCTAGGGTTATGGGAATGATGCCCTTGGGTAGGAACTTAAACACCTGTTCTGGTGGGGTTTCTGTTTGGCAAAGCAGAGATTGTGTTGTACAAACCTATGTGCAATCATAGAAAGACCTCTCTGCTTTGACCAACACTTGCAGAATTTCCTAGCTTGGAAAATTGCTCAGAAGAAAGTTCAGCACCAACTGAACTACATCTGAGAGACATCTAAATTAGCAACAAGAGAAAGAGCCTAGCAGTTCATCCCGGTTTCCATTCAAGTCAGTGGAAAGACTCACAAGTCGTCAATGATAAATAGCAAGAGGCTGAAGTAAACATGGCCTGGGGCTCTCAGCAGAAAACCTTGGCTTTGGGACAGACTTCTCTGGCTTGTCACTAACATGTCTTCTTTGGGATAGCCATACCATGGTGCAGAGATCTCATTTATCACACGCAGCATGTGGGACATCTGCTTACTCCTCTCTCCATCCATGCACATGACATTGGCTTAATAAGACCAGAGCTGCTTGTGGAGAGTCCCACAACGCTCCACCAAACTTTTGCACCTTCCCTGCTCCTGTCTTGTTCCCTTGACCTTGCACAGATTGGGATCCAGCTCTCTCCTGCCCCTTCACAGTGAGAGTCTGCAGCGTTACAGGCTGATGATGGGAAGGAACACTTTGGTGGTCACTGCCTTAGGAGGCAAAATTCACTGCATGTTTGAAAAATGCTGCTGGAGCCAATTTTAGAAATGAAGCTTTTAATCATCCTTCTCCACTTCATTCCCCTGTGATTAATCAAAGGAGACTCAGGCTTTCTCTTTGCCTCTGCCATAACTCCAGACAAAAGACTTGGAAATTTCCATCCACATGCACTTGGAAAGAGTGGAAACGGCCATTTTTGAAAGGGGTTAACAAAATCTCAAGCCGACAGCCCAGCAGAACATTGGAAACTTTTGCCAAATCCTTGCAGGATGGCTGAAACTCAAGCTGTCCCAGGGAAGCATTTTTACTGCATCTCTTCACGTCAAATAAAACACACCTCTGGCTAAGCTTGTGCTTCGGCATTTTTAATAAGAGAAGATATTCTACCCCTGCTGAGGAAATCAGGATCGTGCATTTTGGAACAGACTGCCAGCAGAAGGACTGAAGATATTAATGGAATCCTCTTCAGGACAGAAATGGGGAAAATTTCATCAGAGGGAGAATTCTGGCAAATCTGAGAAAGGGAAAGGGAATCAGTAACTTGGGTGGTAGAAAGTAGATGGGAATCAAAAATGAGACAAAGCTCTTTAACCTGGTTTTCTTTTTTTCTCTGACTTGCTCATTCAGTTTCTGAAATGATTCTTGTCACCTTACCCAAAAGTGGGGAATGGAGATCCAGGAAAGCAGGAGCTGTGTCTTGGGATCTTGACATCCAGAAAACCCAGAAAATCTTACATCAGCCATCTTTTATTTGTCCTCCTGAGATCTTCTGGGAACTTCAAGTAGGCTAATTGAACTGGCCTTATTCCCAAACCAAAACGGACTCCCTGAACTGAACTGGCCTTATTCCCAAACCAAAACGGACTCCCTGAACAGATCTTGCATTAATTCTCCTGTTTCTCTCCCAGCCATGTCTCCTTTCCCTCATTAAATTCCTGAACTGGTCTTACAGATGGACCTCCATTTTGTAATTATTTTTTGAGCTCCACCAGTCGTGGGATTTTAAAGCAGAAATGGTGTCAGTAGTGCAAAGGAGATTAAAGATCTACTGGATCAAGACATGCTTCAAGTTCTGATTTTGGAAAGCCATTGTAGGAACCAGATAACCACCAGAACATGGAAGAACACTGGCTGTGGCCCCATTCCCCCAGGAATTCCTCCTGCTACAGCCACACTGGTGTAGGCGCAGTGCCACTGGGTCCTTGACAAGGTGAATGAGCTTTGCCATGAACAGAGCCTATAAAATTTGCTGAAAACATTCCAAATTATGTCAATCCTTTTGCAACAGCTTTTAAGTATTTCCCATTTATTTCTACAGTATTTTAACAAAACTGGAAAGACTGCAAAATTCCCTCTCAAATGCATTTTTCATGACCATGTGAAAAATCCTACAGTTACTGTGGTGTTCATATTTTTATAGTAATGAGGGTACTATTAAAGCCTGCCTGTCCCAAAGGAGCATGGTGATCATTGGGCTCATTATTCAGAGAGAGACAATAGCAATATTAATGAGGCTCAGACATCTGTCAAATTAATCTGTAGTTTCAAGTTTAGGCATCAAAGGCAGGATTTGGATTTTCTAGCTGTGATTTCCCATTTCTGTCAAAATCTGAGTGGCTGCGAGTGGCTGTAAAGAGATGAATTTCTATTTTTCAGCTGTTTATACAACCTTAATCATGAGGGACCTCAGAAAGCTGATATAGCAGGTCTTTAGAGAACACTCTTCTTTATCTTGCCAGTGAGGACTGGGAAATTGGGAGCAGCTCAAACAGCAGAAGTTGCAGCAGAAAAGAGGGAAATTGATTCCATGGATATTCCGTGGACATGCACTAGTGTGCAGTAAAAACTCCCATGTGTTCAAATTCAAGAGATATCCTCTCTTCCTTTCCCAGAAACAGGGAGCTTCTCTTGCCACAGCATCAGGGCTGTCACTCTGTCCCCCTGGCAGCACTCAGGTCATTCCAAGGGGACAAGAATAGCCTGGGACTCACTGTGCCGTGTTTGAGGCAAAATCAGAATGTTGAGGAGGAAAGAAGGCATGCTGAGATGTTTTTTGCCTCTCTCACTCTCCAAGGTCCTCTTCTCTTCCCTGTGCTTATGTAAGGCTCAACTAATTGTCCAAACTAATTAAAAACAATATAAATTCAATCTAATATTTATAGGAGCTGGAGGACTGCAATATTTACAATCAGATACAGGATCATCAACGAAAAATATATTAATTCTCTTTCCTAATTTTTAAGTGCTTTTGTACACTGCGATCATCTGCCCTTCTTCAGTATGATTTCCTGAAGTGGGACACCATTTTTACACATTTCTCAGCTCTAGAAACAATTTAAATGTAATTCTTCTGACAAGCCAAAAGGCATAAAGATAATTCTTGGCTTGCTGAGCTTTTGCCAGCAATCAGTAGCCTTGCCTCGACTTGGCAGTCAAAACAATGTGACGTTAAACCTCCTTTTTAGTACATGCCCAGCTTCAGTACTTCCCTGCTAATGGCATTAAAAGTTCCAGGTTTACCATATTTTTCTTCATAGAAATTATTTTTCAAACCACTCATTTCACAAGCAGAACATGTGAATCCACCCCTGCTGTTGATCCTATAATTTAATTACAAAACCAGCTAAATAAGGATCCAAGAAGTGATTGCCTTAGAGCAATGTTTACACGATTTTCTTGGAATTAAATCCTAAGTGTTTCTGAAAATTTTGCCACAAAAGAGGAGTTGTGCCCTGGATCCACACTTCATAAAGCAGGATCTAGCTTTGCATAACTTTCCTCAATAGCTTTAATGCATCTTGAAACATGAACTAGATAAAGCTACCTCCAGATAGAGGCATTTTCAGGAGAATTGGAACCAGGACAGCAGTGTTTCAGCTATATTTTGAAATATTTAAATATTATGCTTCTGTAGTAACAATGTTTGATCCAAGATGATCCAAGTATATAAATAAGGTAAAGTTAGTAGGAAGAAACATTAGGGTAATGCTTCTCTCTGTGGACCTTGTTGTGTTGAAAGGCTTTAACTTCTGAGTTGTTTCCATACAAGCACGTCAGGCATAACCCATACCCAAAAATAAGTCTGTATTGCTATCAGGTGACNGAGAAGGATGATTAAAAGCTTCATTTCTAGAATTGGGTCCATCTTTGTTTTTCAGACACACCGTGAGCTAAGACAGTGACCACCAAAGTGTTCCTTCCCATCACCTTGCATGGGAAGGATGCTGACCTGCTGGAGCCAATTTTAGAAATGAAGCTTTTAATCATCCTTCTCCACTTCATTCCCCTGTGATTAATCAAAGGAGACTCAGGCTTTCTCTTTGCCTCTGCCATAACTCCAGACAAAAGACTTGGAAATTTCCATCCATCTGCACTTGGAAAGAGTGGAAACGGCCATTTTTGAAAGGGGTTAACAAAATCTCAAGCCGACAGCCCAGCAGAACATTGGAAACTTTTGCCAAATCCTTGCAGGACGGCTGAAACTCAAGCTGTCCCAGGGAAGCATTTTTACTGCATCTCTTCACGTCAAATAAAACACACCTCTGGCTAAGCTTGTGCTTCGGCATTTTTAATAAGAGAAGATATTCTACCCCTGCTGAGGAAATCAGGATCGTGCATTTTGGAACAGACTGCCAGCAGAAGGACTGAAGATATTAATGGAATCCTCTTCAGGACAGAAATGGGGAAAATTTCATCAGAGGGAGAATTCTGGCAAATCTGAGAAAGGGAAAGGGAATCAGTAACTTGGGTGGTAGAAGGTAGATTGGAATGAAAAATGAGACAAAGCTCTTTAACCTGGTCTTCTTTTTTTCTCTGACTTGCTCATTCAGTTTCTGAAATGATTCTTGTCACCTTACCCAAAAGTGGGGAAGGGAGTTCCAGGAAAGCAGGAGCTGTGTCTTGGGATCTTGACATCCAGAAAACCCAGAAAATCTTACATCAGCCATCTTTTATTTGTCCTCCTGAGATCTTCTGGGAACTTCAAGTAGGCTAATTGAACTGGCCTTATTCCCAAACCAAAACGGACTCCCTGAACAGATCTTGCATTAATTCTGGCTATGGCCCCATTCCCCCAGGAATTCCTCCTGCTACAGCCACACTGGTGTAGGCGCAGTGCCACTGGGTCCTTGACAAGGTGAATGAGCTTTGCCATGAACAGAGCCTATAAAATTTGCTGAAAACATTCCAAATTATGTCAATCCTTTTGCAACAGCTTTTAAGTATTTCCCATTTATTTCTACAGTATTTTAATAAAACTGGAAAGACTGCAAAATTCCCTCTCAAATGCATTTTTCATGACCATGTGAAAAATCCTACAGTTACAGTGGTGTTCATATTTTTATAGTAATGAGGGTACTATTAAAGCCTGCCTGTCCCAAAGGAGCATGGTGATCATTGGGCTCATTATTCAGAGAGAGACAATAGCAATATTAATGAGGCTCAGACATCTGTCAAATTAATCTGTAGTTTCAAGTTTAGGCATCAAAGGCAGGATTTGGATTTTCTAGCTGTGATTTCCCATTTCTGTCAAAATCTGAGTGGCTGCGAGTGGCTGTAAAGAGATGAATTTCTATTTTTCAGCTGTTTATACAACCTTAATCATGAGGGACCTCAGAAAGCTGATATAGCAGGTCTTTAGAGAACACTCTTCTTTATCTTGCCAGTGAGGACTGGGAAATTGGGAGCAGCTCAAACAGCAGAA